ATAGCCTGTATGTTATAAACTAATGTGAATTAAAGTAGTAGTTTGGCCTTCACTTCGCAACTTTGTCATATTAGCAAGAAGACGTAGTAAAACGCATCCTGTCCTGAGTCAATAGTATGCATTACAATTCCCAGAGTTAAACCATTGACTCTGTACATTGCCAGACGTTTCGTTGGCATCGTCAGTGAGCCTTGCCACTCCTAGCACCACACTACAACCCGTCAACATGATAAGTGAAGTCGATCTTTTAACCAATTGTTTGCCAAACATTAGTAGTATCTCTCCTTCTGTAATGGGATATCCCCTAATCTTATATCCTAGTATCATCCCTTCACTATCACTATTTCTTGCTTATTAAAAAGTGGTATGGTGTGTCCTTTAGAGACGATTTCATAAGACATATTTGCACCCACGCTGGCTCTCTCCACTCCTCCTCATCCTTGTGCTTCAAATATAGATCTGAATCTGAATCAGGGTAATTGAATTGATTCATTATAATTTTAGGAAAATAAATGGCAAGGATACCAAAGAGGAACTATCGGGAACCCAGAGGAGACGTCTACAATGATCCCATTCAAAACAAATCGAACCACATTTGAGGGTTGACACACAAGCGACAAAGGCATAGAAGTCATAGACTTGTCATTATAGATAGAAGCATGATGGATGTGGCGGAGACTAGATCTAGTTGGCTAACATGATCCATGAATCAGAGACTTGAGCATGATATTTACCCTGTGCACGCGTGTAACGGTGATTAGGAGAGCCGTAGCCTCAAACTAATCTTCTATCCAGCGTGAGAATCCGGACTTTGTGGGCCTACTTAGCGAGGCGAGAGTATACGTGCCATCAAAGGCTTGAGGCAGAGTGCGGGAAATAACGCCTCAAGTAGCACAGACCAGATGAAGTCTCTGTAGGTCGAAAAAGCCTATAATCCTTTCGATAAGAACATCGAGATGACATAAGAAATAATACGGATTAAAGCAGCAATCAGTTGCAGGCACCGTTAGAATTGATGGTGCTTATGAAGTTAAATATTGTCTAAATGATACCCGTATAAACTACAGTAGAAAAGAAGATGTGAAAAGCTGAAAATTGATAATCAAGTGTAATATGCAGGATAATATCCATTATTTCACGAAAAAGACCATGTAAAGCAGGATAACAAAGTACGAGCTATTTAGATAATGTCGCTTAGCAGACTGTAATCTAGGAAAGGGTATGCAATTTCAAAATGTCAATTGTTTTTTGCTCTCTAAATATCCATAATTTTGAGCATTTGTGCTTACAGTACAGCTTAAAAACAAAGGTCTCATATCAGACTAAAATGCTTAATCATAACTATGGTAGTAAATGCATTGAGAACAAAAGTTCAGGCGGATAACCCTAGAAGACTCACCAAGATCTGATAATCAAAGCACGGCTTTCCATGAAAGTACGACAGGCAGGCATATATCGGGCGACGATACTGGAATTTCTCCTCGAACCCTACCGCGGCGGTGGCAACATCCGAGGTTCGCCGAGTTTGGACTTCTGAGGTGCCATGCTCACCGGGCCCACCTGGGGCTTGAGAGTTGGCGCCGGCCGGACGAGCGAGAACGGCATCTGCAGCAGAACCAGCACTGCCAACAAGGGCACCGGTGCCAGGAGATAGCTCAATCGAAACGAAGGCCGTAAGTAAGGCAGTGATAACCATTTCTCCATGCCAGATGGACAAATGCCGACGAGACATTAGGGCCTCACGACGACCACTTAGATGAGGAAAAGATAGATTCAATAAGATGAAAATTGCAAATAAATCTAATAAAAGGTATGAAGACCAAGATGGTGTGGCCTTTTGTATGGTTGCAGTCTCTCTTCGTTGTATAGAAGTTGCCTGACCCTATTTTGGCAACTTGGTCATATTGATAGGAAGACCTAGTCCAGAGTCTATAGTATGCATGATAATTTCCATGATCGAAGCGAGGACGTGTTACATTCACAGATGTTTCGCTAGTCAATCTTGCCATTTTTAGCACCACACGACAATTCGTTAG